TAACGTTGATTATGGATTATGCAACGCTTACGCCAAGAAGATTCCCTAATGCTCAGATGCCCTACCTTTAGGGTGTGAAATCTGGTTGTGAGGCAAGACGCACAGGTGCCCTACCCTGTGCCCTGCGTGGCCTCAGACCTCAGTCCCCTCCAGGTCAGCAGCACCTCACAGACCGTGGTGAGAATGAAGTGGGGACATATAGACTGCATGCATGCAGCAGTGTCTGCTCAGTGTGGCCTCTGATGGCAGGAGCTGGGCGGGGACCCCTTTGCCAGCACTGACAGGCCGGCTGGGGCTGAGGCACACTCGCCTGCTCCCCCGGGCCTGGCACAGGTGAGCTGCCAGTAAGTGGCAGCAGGTATCAAGTGGCAGCTCTCTGGTCTTAGAAAGCCCAAGGGAGTTAGAATTGCTGTACAGAAGTGAGGCCGTCTGAGTGAATGCATTTTATAAACTGTAAAGCCCCTAATGAATGTGAGGCGGTGGTGGGCTTATCACTGAGTCAGGTGAAAGAATGCTCTTTGATGCCCTTCCCACCTACTTTGTTCTAGGCCCTGTGCTGGGAACTAGGAATACAGCGGTGAATGGCACAGACCGTTCTCTGCCCGCGGAGGTCTCAAGTGAGACTAAAATTTTACAGGCTCTGGTGCAGTCACTAACTCCCGAATGCTATTCCCACTAATAGCCAGCATTGTTCGGGTACTGGCGGTGGGCCAGCATCTTTATGCACTTCCCATGGCTTGGTGGGGAAGGTGCTTGGCAGGTACCCACAAGCCAAGCCCTGGCACCTCTCTGAAGCATCAGTGCCCCCGTCACTGGGATCAACAGGCAAGAGCCTGGGGACAGCAGCTCTCATCCTGCATCGCTCCCTCCTCAGGACAGGGCAGCCCTGGCTCACTCACTGGCAGTCCCAGGCCCAGCCTAGGACTTCCAAAATTCACTTGGAGATTGTTTGTTGAGGTCTGGGGAGACGTGCTCCCAGAGCTAGTGCTCTCGGAGGCGGCCAGGCTTCCGGGGGTGTTGCCCAGCCCTACAAGAGCCTAGGAAGCTGTGACTTGTTGTCAACTCTCTGGTCTATTCTGGCTTCTCCTCCTGGTGCCTTTCTCTTCAGAAGAACCTGAGAATTCTCCATAAATTCAAATGTACTTTTCCTCTCCAGGACAACGGCAGTGGGAACCTTATTGTTTATTTGTAAGATGAGAACTCTAGTCCCAGAAAAGCAGGACCTGAAAGCTGCATATCTTTCAGCCGAGCTGGACAGAAGTAAGTGGAGTTGTTTATCCAGAAAGTCTCCAAGAGCATCATTCAGGCTACACCCACAGTCGTGATCACAATCAAACTTCAATAAACATGGGAGGGAAAAAGTGAACAGGAATGAAAGTTAACAGAAGCCACAAACTACAGAATCAGGCTACCAAGACAAAGACAATGGAATCATCAGATATTGAATATAAAATGAATACCAAGCAAAATTAATGAAAAGATACGCAACACCTCAACGCCCTCTACCATTATTGCACAAACTGCAGAACACCAGAGACAGCAGGAAGACTCTAAAAGCAGCCATATACCTAAGACAGATTCCACAGCAGCAATGAAGCTGAAGCAAAATGGAATACTATGGAAAGATGTAGAACACCGTGGGAAAATACCTTCGAAGGAAATAATTGTCAGGGGGGGAAATAAGGACACTTTTCTGACAAACTGACTGCTGCCATCTGACCTTTCCTAAAGAAACTACTAACAGTTGTATTGCAGGAAGAAAGAAAGTGATCCCAGAAGAATATCTGAGATGCAAGAATATCTTCATTTCTTAAGGCGATCTAAAACTTGACCGAAAAAGCACAGTCTATAAAAGAAAAGATTAACATATTCAATTACTTTAAAATCAAGAACTCAGTTCACCAAAAGACATCATAAAATGTGAGACATAAATTGGTGCAGCCACTATGGAAAACAATATGGAGGTTCTTCAAATAATTAAAAATAGAACTACCATATGATCCAGCAATTCCACTCCTGGGTGTTTATCCAAAGAAAGCAAAAACACTAATCAAGAAGATATATGCACCCCAGTGTTCGTAGCAGTGCTATTTATAGCAGCCAAGATATGGAAGCAACCTGAGTGTCCACCAACAGATGAGTGGATAAAGAAGATGTGGTATATACACACAACGGAATATTACTCAGCCATAAAAAGGAATAAAATATTGTCATTTGTGACAACATGGGTGGACCTGGAGGGTATTATCCTTAGTGAAATAAGGCAGAGAAAGACAAATACTGTGTGATTTCACTTATATGTGGAATCTAAAAAATAAAACACATGAACAAGTATAACAAAACAGAAAAAAATGTGAGAGACATATGCTGGCAGAATATATCTGCCATATTTATAACAGTTAATGAGATCCACACTATTAGGAAGAATTCCTATGAATCAATTAAAAAAAAGACACACCTGTAAGAAATATGTAACCAATTAAAAAACAACAATAAAAAATTGCACAGAAGAAGAAATACATGAAACATATGAAAACAGAATCAATCTTATTAGTAATCATAAAGATTAAAATCTAATGAGACACATAGAAAATCCCAAGGAACCTACCAAATAACATCCTCCCCCTCAAAAACCAAAACCCTCCTTAAAGTAATATGTGAGTTTAGCAAGTTGCAGGATACAATATTGACAAACAAAAAGTCAATCATATTTCTATCTGCTAGCAAGGAAAAACTGGGAAATGGAAATAAAAAAAAAAAAAAAACTATTTACAATACCTCCCCCCAAATAAAATACTTATGCGTAACTACGAGAAAATGTGTACAGTATCTGTATGCTAAAAACTACAAAACGTTGATAAAAGAAGTCAAAGAACATCTTAATCATTGGAGAGGCATACCATGTTCATGGACTGGAAGACTCATCATAGTAAAGATGTCAAGTCTCCCCAAATTGATCTATAGTTTTAACACAAACAAAATCCCATCAGATACATATTGTAGATATTGACAACCTGATTCTAAAATTTATGTGAGCGACTTCCCTGGTGGTGCAGTGGTTAAGAATCCACCTGCCAATGCAGGGGACACAGCTTCTATCCCTGGTCTAGGAAGATCCCACTTGCCGTGGAGCAACTAAGCCCGCAAGCCACAACTACTGAGCCCGCGTGCCACAACTAATGAAGCCCGCATACCTAGAGCTCATGTTCCGCAACAAGAGAAGCCACGGCAAAGAGAAGCCTGTGCACCACAACGAAGAGTAGCCCCCACTTGCCACAACTAGAGAAAGCCCGTGAGCAGCAAAGAAGACCCAACACAGCCAAAAAATAAGATTAAAAAATTTTTTTAAGTAAAAAAAAAATTAAAATAAAATTTGTGTGAAAAGGCAATAGAACTAGGGAAGGGGATGAGCTTTCTCCTGAGATGGACAGAAATGTGAGTCACCTGCACTGACAACTATTTTGAGTGCTGTAACTTTAGAGAAAAAAATTTTTTTAATCTAGCAGTGTGAATCCTCCAAACCACAAACCCAAGAGACATCCTTGGCTCCCTGCTTCCCATCACTCCCAATCTCCAGTGGTCTCATAGTCCAACAAATTCTTCTTTTTCAGAATTACTGTATTACCTAATAAAAGATTTACTCCCATGTACCTTCTATGAAGTGAAAGAAATAGAACATTATCATTATCTTTGGAGGCCACTGTACACTCGTTCCCAATCCCATAACTCTCTTCCTCAGAAGGATCATTCTCAGGAGGTGCTGATGAGGGTTTTGAAGGAATTGGGGAGTGGCAATGAGTTCAGATTTTGTACCTGTTAGACTTGAAAAGCTTGAGGGGCAGGGCCAGGAGTGGTGAGGCAAGTGGGGTGCCTAGGGTGCAAATTGTAATGAGGCACTTGCTCACAGGGGTCACACAAGTGCAGAGAGATGTAAGTAGAGGCATCAAGCGAGCATGCAGGGCTGAAGGCTGCAGAGAGAGAAATGCCCTGCACTGGGCTCCTGGGATCACCAGCCCATGTGGTGCTTAAAAGCACAGATGTAACAAGGGGGAACCCAGGAGACTCGCCAGGACATTCTAAGGAGGGCCAGGAAGGAGAGGAGACAAACCAAGAACAAAACTCCTTGATGCTCATGTGCCTGTAAATCCTTGTCCTCCAGGCCTCTAACTGAATGTGCTGTCTGGTGGACATTTAGTTCTTCCCTGGGCTCACCAACATGGCTGCCAGCCCAGCCCCAAAGCAAACAAATGCAGAGCCCAAGGCAACAGGAAAAAGTTTTGGCTTTTCCGCCAAAGGGATAATAAGTGGCTAGACAGAGTTGAGAGGTGATTTAACTGGAACTGTATTGCCCAACTGGTAACTGACTCCAGGGCATCAGATACTATACCCAGGAGACTCCAAACCAAATATCCACAGGGCCAGGCAGGTACTGTCAGTGGATGAAGGGAGCCAGAAGGAGAATAGTATTCCACAGTGAAAGTGAGCAACCGGGAATGTGCCACACAATGGCATAGGGATTGGGAAGCTTGGGGATGTGATCCACTGAGAACTCCAGCTCCTTTTTAAAGAGCCAGTCAGAACTGGTTTCAGGCTACTCTGGCCTGGGAAATGGCTTCATTGTGGCCAGAACTATAGATTTCTCAAGAAAATGTCTGAAATCCGAATTTTTCTTGTGAAATATCCCGTTTTAAATGTTGGCAACTTATGCAGAAATGTTTCAAAAACTCTATATGCCAACACTGGGCCAAGAAGACATATCCACAGCCCAAATTTAACTAAGTCCTTCCGTTGGAAACTTCTGTGTTAACCAGGTGAATTTCCTAACAAAATTTACTCTGACTCAGGGGCCAGCCTTCCTTCCCCATTTCCCTCTTGAATCCCACCTAACTCCACCCGAAGAGCGTTTAACCAGAGCCAGAGGAGGAGAGAGGTGACCTGCAAAGGGAAATGTGCCCCACACCAGCCAGTAAAGCCCCTTCTTCTGTGGTTTTCTCTTACAGATATTTGGGTGCTGGGTCTGGATCCTGGTGGCCGCCACCCAGGTAGCAAACCCACTGCTACAAGGATGGGTGATGTACGTCTCGCTCACCTCATTCCTCATCTCCCTGATGTTCCTCTTGTCTTATGTGTTAGGATTTTACAAAAGATTCGAGTCCTGGAAAATTCTGGTAAGAACAAGTGAGAGTGACCCAGGCCCTCAGGCTCCTCCCAGGCCAACGTCCTGGGTGTGGTGAGGACAACAGGCCTCCTGGGCGGGAAGGAGAACCAGAGACCTTCCCTGGCCTGGGCCCCTAGGGCAGCGGTCCCCAACATTTTTGGTACCAGGGGCTGGTTTCGTGGAAGACAATTTTTCCACGGACCGGGGTGGGGGTGGGCGGGTGCTTCAGGTGGTGATACTAGCAATGGTTCAGGCGGTAATGGGAGAGATGGGGAGCGGCGGGGAGCAATGGGGAGCGGCAGATGAATCTTTGCTCCCCCCCCCCCCCCGCCCCTCACCTCCTGCTGTGAGGCCCGGTTCCTAACAGGTTGGGGACCCCTGCCCTAGGGAACCCCAACTTTTTGTTTGAATGTGTTTACTATTAGGTCGGAATGAAAGCTTTCCTCTGCCAGAGTCCATCCTTCACTGTATTCCCCCCATTGCCTCCCTCATTAGGGAATATCCATGGCCTGGCTACTCCTGCAGCAAGCGCCTCTGGAAGCGTTTTCCCTCTAGATTTAATTTATGGTAAAATCACTGGAGCAGCATTGAAGGAAAGGCTAGTAGAAAAAGAATCACGCCAATCTCAAGACCCTACCACAATCACCTATCACAATTCATTCTTCCATATTCCCGGCAAATTTTATGCAAAATGTATAAATCGCACTGAACCAATAATCTTGGATGTAGAGTCTTTCGTTTAATATTATGTTGTTAAATTTTTTTCATCACATCATCTTGATAACCACTGAAAATTTTTCTATATTGAACAAGTCAAAACATATACAAAAAGTAGGGAGGATTATATCATGAACCCTCATGTCACCATAACCTAGATTCCAGAATTTTCAAGATTTTATCACACTTGCTTCACCTAGCCTTTATTTTTCCCCATGAAGAATTTTAAAGCAAACCCCAAACATCATGTCATTCCATTCCAGACACGTCAGTATACCTCCAAAAAATACACAAATTTTCTTATATTATCACACTTACATAAAGTTAACAATAATTCCTCGGTGTCATCAGAGACGCAGGTCACATTCAGGTTTCCCCCATTGTAACTGAAACATCTTTTTGCAGTTGGCCTGTTTGAATCGGGGTCCTCACCACACCCACTTGCACTTAGTAGCGATGGTTCTTGGGTACCTTTAATCTAGAATGATTCTCCCTGACGGGGACTTGCTGAAGAAACTGGGTGGTCAGCTGTCCTGTAGAAGGTCCCACATTTTGGATTTGTTTGCTTCTTCCTGGTGTGATTTGATTTGTTCGTCTAGTCCCTGAATTTTCTGTAAGCTGGAAGTTAGCATCTAAAGGCTAAACTGAAGGTGGGTTAAACCTTTCTGGCAAGAAGGCTTCATAAGTGGCTTCAAGTCACATCACACACAGTGACTGGTGGTCCCTCTTTGAAAACTCTGCTGAGACTCTGCTGAGTCTTTGAAAACTCTGCTGAGAGTTTAGCACAGAGGTTCAAAAACTGAAATCTAGAGTCAGATTAGCCTGACTCTGCCATGTGTCAGCTAAGCCTCAGTTTTCTCATCTGTAAAGTGGAGATGTTAATAGTAGCAGCCTTATGAAATTAGCTGTGAAGATGAAATGACACATGTGTATATTGTTAGGACAGTGCCCAGCACACAGCAGGTCTTCATAACACTAATGGTTAGGAGCACAGGCTTGGTGTTAACGTGGCATGGGCTCAAATCCTGGCTCAGCTTTTATTCACTGACTTTAACTTTGAACTTCTCTTTCCTCAGAATGGCACTAACGATAAATAGTACCGACCTCATAGTTGACAAGGTTAAATGAGATAAATGGGGAAAAAGCTTAGCCTAGAGCTTGGCTGGAAAGAAGCATTCAATAAATGTTGGTTCATACTGGTATTATTATTGCCGTATATTAATCCACTATTGTTCACCACATAGAAATTTCATTAGAAACACTGCAAAAGAAAAAAAGCAGGAGTTTCGGGAGCAAGCTAGTCTCTTTTGCCCCCTCTTCCCAGCTACGTAGTCAGAGGAAAGAGTTACCTGCTCGCGTGTCCGCGTGACTGTGGCCATGGCCTCTGCTCCATCTTTCCAGGACAGCCTGTACCACGGGACCACTGGCATCCTGTACATGAGTGCCGCCGTCTTACAAGTACACGCCACGATCGTGTCTGAGACCTGGGACCTGAAAAACTACTACATAAACACTGCAGCCTCGGTGAGTGGTGGACAAGAACGTGACAGCTGCCACCATGGAGGGAAACGCATGAGGCTGAATTCTGTCTGCTGCAGAACAGATGTTCCTGAGCCCTCAGGCTGAAGGAGCCTTGCAGGATAGGAGGAGGGGTGTGTGTGTGTGTGTGTGTGTGTGTGTGTGTGTGTGTGTGTGCGCACACGCAACAGGTGTGCCCAAGCTCGCAGGGTACCAAGCCCAAGTTCAGGTGTCATCTCTCGTCTCTGGTTTCCCTGCCCCCTCTTACACCCACTACGCTGTCCTCAGAATATGCTTTTCCAAAACACGCATCTCTTATTGAAAATTCCTCAGTGACTCCCATTGTTGCTGGAACGGAGCCGGAATTCCTCAGCATGGCTCAAGTTCCCGTGTCCTTTAATTTCAATGACAGACGTGCACAGGGTAACATATTGGCTGATGGAATCCGAGGCAAGGTGGTCCAGGCGAGTCATGGGACGAGCAGGACCCCTGGACTTTAGGTCCACTAGGACCAGAGACTCTAGGCCAGCAGGGCCCCGCCTTTCCAGTCTCCGCGAGGCAGCCTCCTTCCTCTCTTGGTGGGATGGCGCCCTCATGTGGCAGCTGGCTCACTGCTTGGGAATTTCACCTCTGGAGCCGCCTAACCTTCCTTACACCTTCCCAGGAAGGTCTAATACCCAGATTGGGTCCCGGTCCACCCCAACCTGTCGCTGTGACCGGAAAGGTACTGTCAGTCGGGGACTCCCACAGGGATCAGGCAGCAGGAGGAAGGGGTGTGGCACAGGGTGCTGACCCCCCTGTAAGGATGCCAGGCAAGCGAGGTGACCCACGAGGGAGGCCTCAGGGGACTTGTCTGCTTCCTCCCGTTCCTGGCCCAGCACCACTCTGCACCCCGCAGCCCGGCTGCTCACCCTTGCTCTGCTGCTCCAGCCACATCAGTCTCCTTGCTGCCCCTGGACCCGCTCTTGCCTTGGCCTTGGCCCCAGGGCAAGCACCGCAGCTCTGTCTCCTTCTGGGTGAGGCCTTTCCCCTCCCTGTCCCCTTCCTGCTTTATTTTCTCCTGCGCGCTTAGCCCCACCTTCCATACTACTCTACTGGTTTATCTTGCTTATTTTCTGCTTCTGCCACTAAAATGTAAGCTCTAGGAGGATAGGAATTTTTGAATTTTGTTCAGCATTATTGCCACAGTTGCTCTTGAAGCCCAGCAGGTGCTTACAAGATATCTGTTGGATGAATGAATGAATGCAAGAGTGTGATTGGACGGGGGTTGAAGTGAGGCTGGAGTCGTCTGCTGGGCCAGGACATCATCAGGCAGTGCAGTTGGGCGACTCTGGGGATGGCTTTGGACATGGCAGGTTGGGGAGGGACCCCTGGGGAGGGCGGGGTGGGAGGGATCACAGGTTTGTGGCTTGGGTAGCTGGATGAGATGAGGGTCCTGGGGCAGAATGAGCTTGTGAGGAAATCTCAGGAGTTCGGTTTGGACCACAGAGAGCTCGTGGGGCCTCTGAGGCTCTGAGGGGCTGAGAGGTGGGTGCGCAGAGTTGAGTTCTGGACCAGTGAGTGAAACTTGTCATCAGAGCACAGACAGTGGCTGAAGGTGGGTGGGGGGGGAGTGCCCAGAACCAGACAGCAAAAGAGAGAGACACAGAGAGAGAGAGAGAAGAGGGGGAGCGGGTCCAGGGCAGGGATGGAGATGGACCCACTTTATGGCCAGGTCGAGGAGCACACGTCTGCAGGTGGGAGGGACGCTGCACAGTCACAGTGGAACACGGGGATGGAGCGTTTCAAGGAGGATGGAGAGGCTGGCCAGTGGTTGCCGCCCTTAAGCCAGGCAGGGCTGGGGCAGAGAGGGGATGAAGCAGGGTCAGAACAAGGGCCTCCCAGCAGCTAAGGGCCTCTGTGGGTTGGGAGCGGGCATCCCTAAGGATGCCAGCATCCCTAAGGAAGTAACTCCCCGGACTCTTCCAGTTCTTTGCCTTTGTCACCTCCCTGCTCTACATCCTGCACGCCTTCAGCATCTATTACCACTGAAGAAGCAGGGAGCTGGGCCCACATGGGAAATATGCTCTTTTAAAGCCTGGAGTATCAGCTCCCAAAAGAGGTTTTCAACATTTGCCATCTGGATGATAAACAGAAGCTCAACGATGACATCACTGGATCAACAGACCATCTTTTCAGAACAAGTGATGAAATCACATGCTGGGCAGATCTGTTTGGACATTTTAATTCTTTGTGATGAATATGAAAAAGCTGGGAGGAGGGCTTTGTTGTTTTTTTTGTTTTGTTTTGCCCGGGAAAGTAACTGTCTCTTGGAATTATCTGACAATGAACCTCACTCTTCTAGAAATCTAACATCTGTAAGTCCTCACTACTGAAAATTCCAGGTCTACCATCATCGGGCCTGTTTGGGGATTCTGCCTCAGCAACAAGATTCCCCACAGTAGGTCTATGGGAACCTTCATAATTTTCTTAAACTCGAAATGGTGCTGTCAACGCCTTCAGATCTGAAGACCCACAGACCTTGTTCCTGTCCCGTGGTCCTGTCTCTGCTTCCCAGCAGTGGTCCAAACCCACTGCCCCCTCCCACGCTGCCCGACCCCCATTCACATCCCCTCCCCTTTCGCCCCCAGCTTTGGGAGCCAAGGGAAATCTGTGTAAAATGAGCTTTGAGGGTAGATTTGTTGGGGAAATAAGCAATTGGTTCTACAAAATTTTTACACAGCAAGACCTGGGGGAGGGCAAGAGGGGTCGGGGAGGGAAGGGTGTAACCCGCTTCTCTGTAACTGTAAGTCAGGTCGCTCTGCTCAGAGAACTGTAGGGCTGCAGGACGCCTGGGTCAGGCCTCCAGGCCCCACCCCCTAAGGACTGGGAGTCACCCTGTCCCTCAGAAAAGACAATCAAGGAAGTCGGCAGGACGTTAGATGCCAGGATTCTCCTCTGGGCTCCTGTCACACGTGGGACATCGATGAGGCCAGAAAGGACCCATCCCAGGGTTCCTACTGTTTCCCATGCAGCCCCGAGTGGTCCAGCTGGGAGGGACCTGGAACCACCCAGCCAGCCTCCTGCAGTGAAGGGCTCCCAGGGGCCAGGACATGCAAATGCATTTGCACTTTGGGGGCCATTCTCAAAGAAAAGGCACAGAAAAATGTACAATCGAGGTGCTGGATTCCCAAGTAAATGTTTTTCAAAAGTAGGCTGTGCCATCTGGCGTTTCTGTCCCTGTGCTGGGGTTCCAGCTGCTTGGCCTCAATTTCTAACGTTGTCAGGGCTCAGCCCCTTACCTGCATGGGCCTGATGCCGTTTTGAAATGAAATAAATTATTATGTGGAAGGGACTTGTCTTAGCCTATTCTAGGGCTTACAGTTTTGTATTGACTCTTTTCTGCTCCTGAAGGGGAGGGGGAGGCAGGAGGGGAAGTCACCAGAGAGAAAACTCTGGCTTCACTCCCTGACAGCTCACTTCCTAATCGCCCCCATAGCTTGAAAAGCCACCGTTCACCTCTCACGTTCTTGCCTGGTGGCTATCTGAGATGGTCATTGTTAAATATTTACTGAGTAACCACATCCAAATAAAAGTCATTTGTACAGTCAAAAGCCTGGAGTTGGTTGGTTTCGTGGTGTCCGCACTGGAACGGGCCACCATGTGACAGGTCCCGACAGCAATTGCACAGAAAGCACCCTGTGGAGGGTTTTACGGCCCAGCCCACCCGGCCTTGCTTCTAGGACAGCTACACAGGGACACTGAGACTGTCTCCAGGGCTCCGGTTTGTAGTGTCATTTCCACTTCAGTAAGAATAGTTTGGGTGCAAGTTCCAGAAACCAAACTCCTGCAGCTTAAGCAAGGTCAGGGATGCCCTGGCCAGGGCTGGGAGGTGCAGAGGCCTGGGTGGGCAGGAGAAGACCCCTTGCCCAGCCCTCTCCCTCATGTTCCTGCTCTCCTTAATGAGGTGCTGTCCTGTCCTCCCATCACATTGCAAGGCCCCCCACCCACTGGGCAGACACTGTGGACCCAGGCCTGAGCCCCGGCACCCCCTAGTTCACCTGCAGCTGCTGCAGCTCCCGGCCACCTTCCTGTCTTCAGGACAGCTGTCCTCTCTCTCTAGGACTCTCCCCAGCTCTCATCTTCTGTGGGGAAGACCCGAGGCAGCCTACCAGACTCAGAGCCCCCAGCAGAGGGGTGCACCCCCTGGGCCGAGCCAGGCTGGGCTTTGCTGGGTGGCCCTCACCCAGCAGGATCCAGGGAGCCCCTGCTTTCCCATGGGGCTCCCTGGATCCTGCACCAACATCCTTGCCTCAGGGTGGGCTTCAGGGGAGCTCAGACTAAGACACCCTGATCTCAGGTGGCCTCAGCCTGCAGTGGCTTAAAGCAGGGTTTCGGTTCCCCAGCCAGAGATTGAAGTCAGGCCAAGGCAGCGAGAATGATGAATCCTAGCCTCGAGACCATGATGGCCAGTGACAAGGCCCCTGGCCTTTTGGCTTTGCGGAAATGAATTCCCACAAAGACAGAAAGTAGCAAAACAAGTAAAGTGTTTATTAGGAAGAAAAAGAGTACGTGTGGATAGACACAGGGGTGGACTCAGAGAGAGAGAGCTGCGCCCTCAGGGTAGTTTGAATCACTTACATGGGGCATTTCTTCCAGGTTTCCTTTGGCCAATTATCTTGCTTTGCCTGGTTCTGAGTCCATATTTGGTTTATCTCAGGGTCCTCCCATGTGTGCGCATGCATCTCTTAGCCGAGATGGATTCTAGCAAAGAGGAGTATAGCTAGGTTGACATCACTCCCTTTTGGACCTCCTGAGCACGTATAGTCGGGAAGGTCTCCTTGACCTCAAGAACAAGGAATATGTGGTCTCTGTCTCTTATCTGGGCAGGGCTCAGCTCCTCTCTCACTCCTGCTATTTTGGAGCTCAGCCTGGGGCCCACCTATCTCCTGCCTCAATCCCACAACCTTGTCCTGAGCCTCAAGCCCATGCTGGGCACTGGGGCCACGGGCATTGGGATGCAGGGTCCTGCCAGCTGCACTCTATGGCCCTGGCTGAACAAGTCGGTAGCAGGTTTGATTGGCAGCTTTGTCCAGACAGCCGAAGTTCTGCTTTGACCAATAACTGGGCTGTGATCTTTAAATGAGATAAGAAAAAAAACCCATTAAAATTTGAAAAATAAACAACATACTTAGCTCTGGGGTCTACCTCAACAGGAATGGAAAATCCCTAGTTGACAGGGTGTTACCCTCACCCTCCTGCCCCCTCCTGCCCCCATATCTGTCACTGACCTTCCCCTTAGGGATTTGCCAGGGAGCACATCTCAGTGAAAGCTGGACGTTGACTATGGAGGACCTCAGGCAGCCCTTGATCAACGTGATGGGCAGTGGGGGAGCAGTGCCGACGTCCCCCGACATCTGCAGAGCTCACACCCCATGTTCTGCTGCTAGATTCTCCCAGGGGGCGACCCGGTGCTTCCTGGGTCACCAGAAGATGACGAATCTTATTCCCAGCACTCCTGTCCCTCGGTCAACCATCTCCAAGGCCACATGTCCCTGCCTCTGTCCTAGCCTGGTCATTACACAACAGCTGGCCCATCACCTCTCAGCGACTCGTGGGCCGGGGAGTGGAGGCTGTGGATGACATTTCCATGGTGACGCTGGACCTCCCCTGCACAGAGGCTTTACTCCCAGGAACTTGTACCGACATACTCAGCCTGACTGCGTTGGGATTGATCTCTGCATACAAATCTGGAACGGGTGTGTAAGACCCTCTATCTCCTCTGTGTGTGTGTCTTATCAGAGAAGAAATGTTAGAGGCAGTGATTAAGCACCTGGGGTGAGTCAAGACCCCACCTATGGAGAACAGTATGGAGGTTCCTTAAAAAACTACAGATAGAACTACCATATGACCCAGCAATCCCACTACTGGGCATACACCCTGAGAAAACCATAATTCAAAAAGAGTCATGTACCAAAATGTTCAATGCAGCTCTGTTTACAATAGCCAGGAGATGGAAACAACCTAAGTGTCCATCATCGGATGAATGGATAAAGAAGACGTGGCACATATATACAATGGAATATTACTCAGCCATAAAAAGAAACGAAATTGAGCTATTTGTAATGAGGTGAATGGACCTAGAGTCTGTCATACAGAGTGAAGTAAGTCAGAAAGAGAAATACAAATTCCGTATGCTAACACATATATATGGAATTTAAGAAAAAAAATGTCATGAAGAGCCTAGGGGTAAGACAGGAATAAAGACACAGACCTACTAGAGAATGGACTTGAGGATATGGGGAGGGGGAAGGGTAAGCTGTGACAAAGCGAGAGAGTGGCATGGACATACACACACTACCAAACGTAAAATAGATAGCTAGGGGGAAGCAGCCACATAGCACAGGGAGATCAGCTGGGTGCTTTGTGACCACCTAGAGGGGTGGGATAGGGAGGGTGGGAGGGAGGTAGACGCAAGAGGGAAGAGATATGGGAACATATGTATATGGATAACTGATTCACTTTGTTATAAAGCAGAAACTAGCACACCATTGTAAAGCAATTATACTCCAATAAAGATGTAAAAAAAATACAGTATATTGATCGAAATATATCAATAATCATTGTGAATGTTCATGGTTTAAATGCACCAAATAAAAGGCAGGGATTGTGGGAGTAGATCAGAAAACAAGACCCAAATATATGTTGTCTACTTAAAAAAAAAAAAAAAAGGCCCCACCTAGACACCTCTTTTATTCTAACTTATCCACCAGGGTGTCCAGGAAGCACACTGGCTTCTGCCCACTTTAAAGTGTCCCATTGGCCCCAGTCCCCCACTTCCACCCTTGCTCCAGGGGCTTTGGCTGCATCTCCTGCAGGGTTCAAGCCAGGAGGGTCATCTCTGGCCCATTCTTCCCCTCCCAGCCCCGCCCCTCAGGCCTCTGCACCAGCCCCTCTCCCTGTATCAGCCCCCTCAGAGGCGGTGCATCCTTACCTTACAGAAGAGGAAGACATCTGGATCTCACATCTAGAACGCTGCACTATCAAGTCAT